ATGAAAATGTACTGTGCTAACTTTCTTTTCCATAGTGGAAACACTTATTTATAGTCATCAAAAATAGTGAATAAAAAATGCATTTGAAACCTGGAGCAGATGGTAGGACTGCATGTGTGTGGACAGTACTGTGAGCACTGTTGGTCCTGGCTAGCTCCTGGGGGTGCCTGCCTGAGCTCTTTTGAGTATGCATGTTCAGGTCTGCCTGTGACTGTGATGGTGGGTCTTGATGTTGCCACGGGTTGTATCTTGGAAGACTCCTTRCCTTGCTGAGGTTGTGGGTCTTGGAGAACTTGAGCTGCTGTTGGCCACTGGAGGCATGGTGTGTCAGCCCGTGCTGGAACAGGGGCTGGTGCATGGGGCTGAGGTGTGTTCTGCCACTTCTTTAGGCCTGAACAGCTGTTGTTGCACTGTGGTGAGGAGATAGGTGTGTATGTGTGTGTGTGTGTATGCATTTGGTTCTAGTTGGCCCCTGTTGGCAGAGTGGTGGGCATAGTCCTTGCCAAGTGGGGCTTAGTCCTATATCCCTCCTGTGGGAAACCCTGTCAGATACCTCACCACTTGGAGCAAAGTATCTCAACTCTGGACCTCCTGGACTTGAAATCTAAACTCAGCCTTGTTTGAATTGTGAGCATCTGCAGTAGCTTTAAATAAGAGGTGTTTTCAAGCATGCTYTTTGGGGTTTGGTATAGCAAAACATGTTCTCAGACATTTTCTTAAGGGGAGAAAGGGTTTCGTGTACAAGAGGCTTTTTAAAGCATGTCCTGACTGTCATGTGTCTAAGGTGACCAAGAGACAAGGCTCTGGGAGTTGTGCCAGCCCTCCCCACCATAGGGCAAGATTGAGCAAGGACTTGACCCCAGATGGGCCACAAGATACTCAATCATGACTTGTGGCAATTTGCCCTTAACATCTACCAGGGTAAAGTGTGGGCATCTGCCACACTTCTGCTGTTGCTCCTTAATCTCTCCATCTGTCAGTGGTGTCTCCTACTGGCTGTTCTGTCTGACCTTCCTGAGTGCCTGGTCCTGCTTGGTGAGTGTATGTCCTGTTTAAACACAGTTCCTAATTCCTGCGGGAATCAGCTGCTCTTGTTATAAAAACCCACACAAAGACTGCACAGGCTATCTCTTGTCTGCTGGGAACCTTGTGAATTACCTCCAGCACATTGGTACTGGCTTGGTGGGGCTCTACCCCAGGAGGAGTTGAGGATTGCACACAGTGACCATTAAGTCCTATAGCAGTAGAATTGTGATGCTGTAAATCAGGTGGAACCTCACTGTGCTGTTTACATTCCCTTGAAGCCTCACAGGCACAGGAGTCAGATATGTTGCATACCATGACTTGATCTTCCTTGAAGAAAGCCCTCCACTGGGATAGAATGAATGTTTAACATTGTCTTCGCTTTGGGTTCCAATAATCCTCCAGCTAAATTACTTCATCTAGGGATGGGAGAAGTATTTCCAAACGGCGTTTCTGGCAGCAGAAAGACTCTTCAGAATGGATGGGGGACACTACCATCCTCTGCTCAGGTTGTATCATGGGGTGCATTGAAGGAAATAGCTTGTGACACTGTAGGAAGTTCTGCTCAAAGGGAGACATGCAGGGGACTGAGTCAGCATCAGCCCTACTGGCCATCATGTAGGCTAAGTAAGGGTACATACTGCCCAGCCTGACATGTTTCCAGGTTGTCATCCTTTGGCAAAAGCAATGTAGGTCCTAATAGAAGTTAGGGATTATGAGGAATGCATCAGTGTATCTGTGTTCCAGATGTGTGCCAAGACTGCCTCCCCCYACCAGTGGATACCTGAAACCTCATTAGTGAATATACTATTATTTCATATATAAATATACATAYACACATAACTTATGTTAAAGTTAAGTTAGGCATAGTAAAAGATTAACAATGGAAGAAGATTAAATGGTAATAGTGAATGTAATGTTGAAATTATTGTACTAAATATCTTAGCAACATTTTTTTCCTTTCCTAATTAAGTGGAAAACTCACCTTTTCATTTACAGGAAGAACTTCACAGCTTCTCTTTACATATCCAAATTGGCAGCATTACTACTACTTTGCTTTGGGGCCATTATTAAATAAAGGTTACTTGAACATAAGCATTACAATGCTAGGGCAGCTGATCTCATAACTTAGAAGGCTACTAAGTGTCAAACGATTAGGGTAGTAGATACAGTGTGGATATGTTGGGTGAAGGGATAATTCACATAAGCTGTTTGGAGCAGGATGGTACAAAATTTCATTTAAACACAATATAAAACTCAAATTRTGGGCTGGGATTGTGGCTCAGTGGCAGAGTTAGGCACTGGATTCAATCCTCAGCACCATATTTAAAAAATAAAGTTATTTAAAAATTCATTGTTATTCAATTTTCCATTTAATAATTTTTGGGTTGCAGATAACTGAAACCATTGAAAGCAAAACTGCTGATTGGGGGTATAGATAGCCTTACATCTCAGGTCTGTGTGTTGAGTTGACTGAGGAAGCACCTACTTGCTTCGTTTTCCCTGTCCCTGTCCCTTGGACAGCATGAGGCTGAGGAGCAGTGAGTGAGGCCTGTTTCATCCTCATGGTGCCCCAGCTTCCCCACTGCTGGCCCCATTGCTTGTCTGGCCCTGCAGGTAGAGTAAGTACTGAGGCTTACCTCACTGGGACCCCTCTGGACCCCTGTCTGCCCGCTTATCTGTGTTAATAAGAGATCCAAACCTGTTTCTCCCTGTGACATGTTTGACATTTTTCTTCAGGGCTCTCCAGCCAGGGGAGGAGATGACTGTCCTTGGCACCCTGTATACAGAATGGGTGTGGAGTCAGACCTGGACCTACAGGGCCTGGTGTGATATAGGTGTGTCACATAAGAAGTTACTGTGAGGTTGGGGCCATTCCTAATGGAGGGCAGGGTCTGAGCTTTCTGTATTCTGAGTGCAGAAGGGCAGAAACAGATAAAAGTCATGGGTTGAGTTGCTCTTCTGAGATGTGTTCCCATCCCTGAAGTTCCTTTTGAGACCACCTGAGAGCTGGGGCGAGGTGGTATCAGGTCTTTGCTCACCAGTGTGCAGGGATCCCTCTATCTCATTGTAGTCCCCATTAGTGCTGGGAGAACCCTCCCCCTTCCCCTGTACTGGGCCTTCTGGAGTGGAACATCCTGCAGAACAGAAGTTTAGGAGAAATCATTTCTGTTGGATAGCTAGCTGCATTAAGGCCCCTGGTCCTCTAACAGCCAGATCTTCCCTGAGGAGCTTGTTAGGTGCTTCATAAGACTAACAAGGCAAAGATCCCAGGTTTGAGATGGTGTGACAGGGAGGAGGTAGCTGCTGGGTGCTGGGTCTTGGCTAGAGGATGAGGACCCTCCTAGGTCCCCATATGGGGAGGGCTGTAATAGGTTCCAGAGCAGAAGACACCCGGGGCATTTTGGAGTGGCCAGGACAGGCCCTTGYTAGAGAGGCAATAGAACTATGAGGTCTCCACTCAGGCGCTGAGTGTGCTCTGCCAGGGAGTCCAGTGCAGTTGCCCAGAACTCATTCTCAGACGACCTCATTCTCTAATGCCGGTCCACCTTAAGTGATAACTGCACTGGTACTGGAGGGTGGGATTTCCTGCGGGAGGTGGGCCTGCTCACCGGGCCTATCCCGTTACTGGGCAAGGTGATGGCGCCCCCCTGTGGGGCATCCAGCCTCTGGGAGGAGTCCCAGGGTCTCACCCTTCCAAGCCTGCAACCTGGGCCAGGATGCGGAGGGGCCTATGGCCYCTGCTCGGTTCAGACCTGAAGAATGGCATGAGGGTTGTGAGATGGGGAAGGTTGATAAACGACACTGATGCCCCTGCAGTAYCACAAAATCCACCCCACCCTCGTGACTGCCAGATGGCTCCAGATGAGGGGGCTGTCCCTGCCCAGGAATAGCGTGTACCTGTGGCCATCAGCCTGCGCCAGGATGCACATGTGATTAGGAGAAGGAACTATTTAGGAAAGGTCTGTGCAAACAGGCCCAGGAGGAAAAACCGCACCGGGTAGGACCAGGATTTCTGGCTTTCACGGAGGTTGCCACTCGTCCCGCAAAGTCTGCAGGGTACAACAGCTGCGCTGAGCCCGAGGCAAGGAGTGACCCCGCCCCTCTGAAGGTCTGGGTATCCGAGGGCGGAGGGCATTTGCGTGGGGCTGCAGGCGGGCCGCGAAGGAGGCCAACGCACCGCCCCCCCTGCCCCCCGCGCCGGCCTCCATCCTCGGCAGCCGGGTCCACCTTAAGGGGCGCGCTGACATCAGTGCGCCGCCGCGCCCCGTGGGGTGGGATTTCCTCCTCCTCCTCCGCCGCCGCCGCCGCCGCCGCCGCCGCCGCCGCCGCGGGTTCTTCGCCGAGTCCAGCCCGCCCGACCCCGGCCCGACCCCGGCCGGCTCCGCCCGCCCGGCCCCGGGGAGGGATGCGGCGGCGCGGCGCCCAGGATGCCCCGCAGCCCCGGGACGCGCCTCAAACCCGCCAAGTACATCCCGGTGGCCACGGCCGCCGCGCTGTTGGTCGGCTCCAGCACCCTCTTCTTCGTGTTCACGTGAGTTGGCATTGCGTCCSTGTGCCCGGGTGGCAGTCAGGCCTGACATAGATTCTTGGGAATACAGAGGCAGCTACCGGGCTGGGTAGCTGGGCCGGGCAGGGGGCTGGAATCAGACGGGCTGGGCGGGGCGCGGGCTGTGAGCAAGGCGAGCCCCCACCCTGGCATAAGGGACCGCATCCCGGAATGCCGCGCGTTCTGGAACAGGTGAGCCACATGTGTGTGAGGACAGTGGTACTAACTGGGCATCTCAGAGTTGTGTCAGGCAGGCCCTGGGTGTGGCAGCAGCCCTTCCCTTTCACAAAGCTCAGGAGGGGATGCGGGCTGCCCAGAATTACTAGCCTTCCTTGCAAGCAGCCGTGGGTGCTTCTTGGGTCCCCTCCAGAATGCCACCCCAGGCCAGWGCCAAGTTATTCCCGCGTAGGTGTGGCCTGGTCTGGTTGCCACATGCTTACCCCATAGCTGCTGATGACCCTGGCCWGGTGGGGTCCTCTGCCCTCTGTTGGCCTTCCTCTTTGGAAGCTCTTAGTGGCCATTTGAGTTTGAGAGGCTAGGCTGGGCTGCACTCAGAGATAGATGTTTAAATAGCTTTGCTGTGGGCTTCTCATAGGGGACACTAAGACCTTTGAGGCTAAGCCTCTAGTTATAGAGACAGAATCCCCTTGCTCACAGGGCCTCAGGTGGCTCCAGTTTCAACTTCTTCACCTCAGACATGCTGGCTTACRGCCTGGAGTGATCTGCTGACCTCCCTCTGTTGTCCTGGGGTCACCCTAGGGATCTTTCAGGCATGAGAAGGGATTGCTGCGGACCCTTTCCACAAGTCCAAGCCCAGGTGGGCAGAGTGATGGCTTCTGAGTGTGAGTGAGCCTGGAATGGGCAGGAGTCAACCTACTGCTCTTTCACCTTTGTAATAGCTGGGGTGGCAGCCCATGTGCATGGCGAGTCTGAATTGGGTGCTTGAGGAGGCGGGAGAGTACTTACCTGGAGGCTGGGGCTGCAGACTGCCAAGAATGTGTTTAAAAAAGGCCTGTGTGGACGGGCTTATTTCTGGCTCTGGAGAGTCAGTGTGTTCTTCTCACTCTGATGCTGCTGACTATGGGGCAGAGAGAGGTGGGTGGTGGGTGAGGTTGGGGACCCATTCCCTGGGGCTTCTGGGAGCATGGATCTCAGCTTGGTCTTGGCCTCCCAGGCACTGGGGTGGTGTGTCTGTCTCAAGTCTTATTACCCAAGTGCAATCCAGTGTCTTTTCTTATAACTTAAGGTTCTCCATGGAGAACTTACGAAATGCAGGGGGAAAAAAGTTTTAAAGAAGTTAAAATTCATCCTCCAGCTCATGGAGACCACCCATCTCCTCATCCTCAGAGAGCTTCTCTGTGCCCTGGCCTCACCTCTGTGGCACCCAGGCCATGCAATAGGAGTGCTTGTGAGCCACTCACCTGTGATTTCAGAGTCTATTATGTGCTCTTTCCTGTGAATTGACCCAGCCTAGGCCTTGAGTGCTGAGGCTGCTGCCATTCTGCAGGCTGCTAGTACTTCCTTCCTCCGTTCTCAAAGCTGGAGTTCTAGGGTCATGGACAATGGTGCTTTTGAGGTATCGGGTTCCCTTTGGAGGTAGCACTCCAATTTGTGGCCCACGCTGAACTCAGCTAGTCTGGGAGAACATGCAATATGTGTCTCAGTGGCAGGATGGAGACTCAGTGGTGTTATTGGGTCCCATTTGTAGGAACCATCTAGTGAGACTCAATGGCTTCACCTGTCCCTTGGCAACCTTGAGGCCATATTTCCTGGGCTAAATTGGGACTTTAACTTGCCCCACCCTAGCTCTTCTGGAATCCACTAGGTGGCTCAGTTTTTGAGAAGGGGTCTTTATAGGGTAGGCCATGACAATTCTGATTAGATGGAATACTAGGTAGGTCTGGTGGCCATGCTGAGTGGGTGTCCTTGGAACAGGCTTCAGTGCCTCCTTTGTGGCTTCCTCATGTCCGGTGGCTTCCTCATGCCTGGGCCCACTTTGGCTTCAGTGAGGGAATGGTTCCCTACCCTGCTCTCATGATCTATATGGGGTTTCTATTTTCTTTTTTTGCTCCTTGGACTTTACCAGATGGTGAATGGACCCCAGGTCTCCTCTCTGCACTCAGTAATGTGAGTTGCCCCTTTCAGGGTAGATTCTATTTCCATACCAAGTGGGCCATGTTTCTGGTATCATGCAAGATCAGGAGTCTGAGGCCTGCAGGACTAGGGATCCCTTCCCTCAGCCAGCTCACCAAAGGCTGTGGGGCCAGTAGGACATTCAGACATCTTTCCAGGAGAGGCTGAGGTGTGGGAAGGATGCCCGATTGAGAGTGTACATATTTTGAGGTTGGAGTGTATGTTGTATGGCAGATTCTTAGAGCCCTCCAGGTGGGGTTTGTGTCCTCTGGGCTCCAAAGGACTTCTTACTATAGTGCAACACTAGGTTGGGTCAGGTACTTGGAGGGTCCAAAAGCTTTCAGGGCAGTCCTCTGCTCTGCCTCTATTCTGCCTCTCCCCAGAGTCACTTTGCAGAATGACAGGACACTATGCATGCCAGAGGACTAGGGCTGGGCRGTCTTATCTCTGAGGCATCTGAGTTGGTGTGGCTGGACCTGAGCCCTCTCCATGTTGGAGGCTTAGTCCAAGACAGCAGATGGTCTAGGCCTGAGGGTTAAGGGGCTAGGTAGAAGAAGGGCTGATTGTGCCTTGTGGGGAAGAGCCTGAGGGTGGAAACTCAGTGTGAACTCCCCTGCCAGGACATGATGCATGTCACCAGGGACTTCCCTGCCCTCCTGAGCCTGTTTCCCCATCTGTCCAGGTGACTATAGGGATCAGACTGGTAGGTATAGATGCTTCATGATCCAGAGGCCCTGCTTTGAATGACCAGGGCAGAGTGGAGTCCTGGCATTCCATGGGCCAGTACCACTCTCAAATGCAAACTGTTAATGAAGAACCTGATATAAAAGAAAATGTCTGAGTTAAAAATTTCCATTCCACATTTAGCTGTGGCAGACATTCTGCCTGTAAAAGTTCCCCATCCCCCTTTACAGGGAGACTCTGCTAGCCTAGGCAGGACTTAAGACCTCCACCCTGGTGGGGCACACTGTAATGACTTGTGTCCTGGCTTATGTCCCTGCTATTCAGGAGGTAGGGCTGGAACTGGAGGAGTGCTTGGAACTTCAGAGCTAGGCCCCCTCCTGGTTCTCCATTTGGTCCACAGCATGGCTTGAGTCAACCAGAAGGGGGTCATAGGGAAGTTGTAGGCAGGATTCATGAAARGCTAAATGCTCTGCCCATGGCCCAGGGGCCTGTGACCTGCCTGTCTCTTTCTGACCCTCCTGCAAACTCAGGTCTTGGGTTATGTCCTGCAGGGGAAGAGGGTGAATCCAGCTGGGGTCTCTGGAGCCAGGTAGAGAAGGATCAGCATGGTGCACATGAGCGGGGAATATCCCCGGGGGCAGAAGATCCTCTCAAGCTTAGTGCTGGCACAAATATGGTTTGGACATTGTTGCCCAGGAGAGCTCACATGTCCTCTTGTTTCCTCCTGTGTCTTTGTGTATCCTTGCATGTTCTTGTATGTCTTTCTGTGTCTTCACACATCTTTGCATGTCCTTGAGTGTCCTCATGTGTATTCACATTTGCCCTGTCCCACAGGGGAACAATGGAAAGCCCAGAGAGGCAGAGGGATTTGCCTGAGGCCTACAACAAGGGGCTACTGAGCTGAGGTTGGACAGAGCTGGGTGTAGGGGGAGGAGGGGTGTGTCTTTGCATGTGTGTGTTCATGTGTGCATATGCATATGCTTAGGCCTCTATGATTGAATGTGAGCTCTGCTGGCATTTTTGCATTCATTCACCTGCACACAAGTGTGTGTGCCTGTGCATGTGTATGTTCTTGCATATATGTGTGTCTTGCTTGTGGATATATTTGTATGTGTTCATGCATATGTGCTTTTTTTTTTTGGTAAAAGAGTGGTTGTCTGTGTTTATGGACCTGTATATTTGTATTTGTGCATGTGTACTTTGGAGCATGTTTGTGTGTGACACATATATGTGTGTCCACATGTGTGTTCAAGTGTGTGTATGTGCCTGTGTATTCTCTTTGTCTCCTCCACCACTTAGCATGCATGCTTCCTAAGTTCTGGGATCTGCCAGGGCCATGATGGGTTAGCTAGTGGGCCTGTCCCCCTTAAGTGGGGTCTAGGTTCATGGGTCC